AAAAGGTTCGCTATTAGAGAAAAATTTAAATGTTTTAAAATTGAAATACCGTTTCTACGAATAAAAATAAGCATATTTATGTTTAAAATTGCATATGACGCTTAAATACAGCATTTTTCAATTTTTTAATAACATATATTAGCCTGTGTATTTGTTTCTAGCACGAGTTTTTATCTAATCTATAAGCTTAATGAGCTTAAATAAACTATAAGCTTGAACTATAAGCTGAACTATAGTAATAGCTATAACGATAAGCTTAGTTAGCTTCAATAAGGTATTGTATTTTATCAGGAGATTTCGTCTGCTATTATGTAAAACATTTTGTAACAATGCTGCTTCCGTGACAGCAAATATGAAAAATGATATTTCTATGGTAGCAAATTTAAAATTTCTTTTATAAATATTTTAAGAAGAGAATGGTCGCTTTTTTTTCCATATCTTTAACTATTTTCATAATTTACCGATACTGAGGGACAAATAATATTAAGATTATTTATTCATTTGTTTGATTTAAATAATTTACAGTAAATTTTAAAGGTATTTAACTCTTTAGAGAAATATTTTAATGACTCAAGGAAGATGGAAGGAAGAAACAACGAAATCAAGGAATCGCAAAATCACATTAATGAATTAAATAATTATTTCTTCTATATTTAATGTATCACTATTTTTTTTTTAAAATATTTTATATTACATAATTTATTTGAAAGTATTTCAGTTCTGCTACATGTGCAGTACTGTCTGCCCTTAAATGAAGAATTCTTTTAATACTAGATTGCCTAAGGAAGTCATTTTGACTGCTTTTAATTTCAATTAGAAAAACAACGATGTATATAATGACACATTTTCCTAGAATTTTGTGACTTTTTATACAACATATAATTTTTTTTATTGTTTATAGTTACTAATGGCTTGTTATATAACTGTAAATAATATGAAAAATGCTAAAAATTAATTTTAAACAAATTTATTTACGTATTCACAATCCAGTCTGCTTTTGGGCAATATAGGTACATACTAATTATCCGTCTTTCTAGTGTTAAGAATCAAAAAGCAAATACATCAAATCCAGTTTCATAGACAGATGAGATTTATAGGTGTTACTAAATAATATCTTTTTCATCTCATCTCAGGTTCCTACGTCATCAATTGCGTTTCAATATCGTCTCAATAGTGATTTGCCAGATTTCACTAACATTTTTGTTTCTAAATATTTATTCCTTTTTTTTCGTTTTATTTTTATTAGCAATATGTGAATACATACTACGTGTGATCGTTATTGACACCCTATATGCAATATGTGAATATATTTTTAAAATTATCTATTTATTATTCTACTTTTGAGAAAATAAAGGTATAGCCTCCATAAGAGATTAAGTATTTACGTATCTCGATAGAATATAAAGGAATTAAATTAATTTTTCGTGGAGTTCACTTAATTGAAAAAAATATTGTTTTACAATAAATACTTCTAGTTAAGAAATTTTTAGAATATTTAGTGCTTTTGTAGTAAAGTCTTCGTTAATTTCTTAAAAATCTTTAGAAAAAGGTTTACATTATTCTTTTATAAAGATTAATTTAATAGAGAACATCTGTAAACTAAAACAAGTTTTTCATTTTTCTTACAAAAAAAAAAGCTAAATAGAATACATTCTTCAAAATATTGTTCCATTAAAACAAGCAATTAAAATGTTACATTATTTCTCGTTTTATTAATAAAATATTTTTATTACTTTGTAAATATTTCTTGAACAATGTTTAAAAACATCACTATATTTTTAAGAAGTAATTATAGCTTGATTAAATTTAAAAGCATCTTTTCTCTCATTTTTATTCGGTTATCTTAAGTTTGAGTGATTTGCAAGTTACAAAAGTGTGTTGATTAGTTAGTTCGATTTCTAGTACAACAATTAAAAAGTGCGGTATTTGGCAGTACCGCACTTTACACCTCATAAAAGGAATGACAAAAATTGAACTAAATCAGTTCTGGTTTAACATATCCAATATTTTTATATCAGGTTCATTGAATCCCTTATATCAAAAAACAAAGTCTATAATGATTAATATAGTCATGTGTTTTATAAAACATACATACGGTAGTATTTGCAAAGTGATCCTATTGTTTCTAACTCTTTACAAAAAGAAATTAATGAGTTATTTTTTCACACTTTATTCATCGTATACTTATAAATTAACTTCCAATCACCAATTCCAACTGCAATCGCCAACTGACTTCTAAGTAACTGTGTGTGTAACATCTAAGATAATAGCTAAGCAGTGTTGTCAAATTGGGCTACTTTTTAAAGTCCTCGCTACTGAAAATCGAATTTGGGCTACCCGCTACTTTTTTGGCCACTAATTTTTCGAACGCTACAAATCTTAAAAATGCGATACATTATTTTTTCTTACAGTAATTTTTTTTTGAATTTTTTCCCCTTTCCATTATAAAATCTTTCTGAAAAGTCTGCAGTTTCTTTACCTTTTTTAAAAAGAGCGAGTTTTTTTTTTTTTGATAACGCATCCGCTTTAGTTTTGGATTCTTGATTTGTTTAGCTGATTATGTTTCAAATCGTAGACTCATGAAATCGCAAAGATATCTATGGAAAAATGGACACTGGGAGTATAACGTAAAAAAAAAATCTAACTCCAAACATTGTTAACCGTTTATCTATTGGAAAAATAAATCACTTGACCTTTAATCCGAGTTAAAACGAAATATTGTACTTGACGAAGTATTTAACGCAATGCATTGAAATTTGATTTTTTTTTTTAAATTCAGTGTATTTCTCCCAAAAAAAAGAAAGAAAATTTCTCCGAAAGCGGTGTGCGTGCAAATAAGAGATGGAGTTTCAATAAATGTAATAACCAACACTTGTTCTTCATGAATTCTACTTTTAAACCTCTTAAATAAGCACGATTGGCTAACTATCGCTTTAAGTTCAGTTTTGATAAATCACCTTACTTTCTAATAAACTTTTGAACTTGCTTCTTGCCTGTTTCTTCAAGCATTATAATTGTACAAAATTATATAAAATAAAGGGAGAAATAATTATTCAAGATTTCTCCTTTGTAATAGGGTAATTCTCAAAAGGTAGGACACAGATTTTACTATAAAGCTCTTACAACATATATGTTAAATTTGCTGCAAAATTTTTTGAATAAATTTAGTGAAAGTAATGAACATAAAATAGTGCAAAATTTTCTATAAATATCTTAAATATTTTTACAACCGAACGGACAATTTTTGGACACTCATGATGTTAACTTAGCCATTGTTACACCAAAAATGTTTTTTTTTATTGTGTCTAGAACTTAAAAATATAGGAAAATAAGAGTAAAGTTTAAATACGTCGGTTATTTGGTAATATCCTAAGCAAATGGCAGCAATAGATAAATTATATTACAGTGCGAAAGATTTTTTAGGAAAAAAAAAAACAGTTTGTTTTGATGCGCATCCACACAGTATTATTTTAACAAAACACGCTATTATTTTAACAAAGAACTTATTAACATGAGTACTTTTAACTAATTTATCCATAATTAAAATATTTTTAATTTTTTTTATAAGTTTTTATGAGAACTTCCTGCAACACGTGAAATATAGGATTGTCCAAAATGTTCATTTTGGATAGATAATTATTTATACCAAAGGATTCCATAATTTTACATAACATTTTGTAATTATGATGACGTAAGAGAAACCAGATTTCAGTTAAGCTTTCCTGAGACTCCAACCTAAACTCAGGAAATCTATTTTTGCATTGTATATTTAAACATTACCTTTGAAAAAATAACATTTGCTTTTGGAATTTAGAAACAACTTCATTTTTTGATATTTCAATAGTTTCAACGATTTCTCGTTTATAATAGTTCATTTAAACATAGGCTCAAAAAAAGCTAAAATGTGATTCATTAAGTTGGTGATAATGTTCATTCGAGTAGTATTCTTTTCACAAAATTCAAAATATTTGACGAAATAATTTTCATAAGATCAAAATCTTCTCTCTAAACTAACCGTTTTAACTCCACAGCTCTGATTCTTAGCGTAGATCTTAGCTGCGAATAGTTCTTAATATAATAGCCTTAAGCTTAAAGCAATAAATATATTGTTCAATATTCATACTATTTAAATGACAATCCCAACAGTTAATAGGACGCTATACCACTGGAAAAACTCACCTAAATAAGTTATTTAAAGTAAAGAAAAATTGAGTTAGGATAGAGTAAGCTTCAAATGCTGAAAAATATTAAAATTATGACAGGATAACGCTCTGGGTCAGTTACAATAATTTGTTTACATTTTGATATTCAACATTTCCATTATTTTCACTAGGTTTACTTTCTTTTCTCTAAACATTTTAATATACCGCTGTGTAGTGTTCTCTTAAAGCAATTATTGTATTTAAATCCAAAGGTGTTAAAAGACATCCCTGACCAAATTATTAGACGCACTAAAAGATTCTATCTAAAATCTTAATTATCAGGTGGTACTCCCCAGCTTTACTGTTTTTACGTGGATGAAACCGGTTTTCACTCGTTTATATTCGTGTATCAATTGGTTAACAATGTAATGCAATACATTAAAAATAAATACAGGTAGGAAGTATATAAAAAGTATCCTAAATGAAAACCCATTACATGTACGTTTAAATAGAAAATAATTGCGCACAAACTCGTGCAAAACATGTAATTATTAAAAAACTACAGTGAGTCTAATAATTTGATTTAATTATAATAATATAATACCTAATACAATAAATATTCCATATTTATCTAATATATCGTCTACTTTATCCGATTTTCGAATTTAACCTATTTTTAGCCGAACGTAAACAAGTGCAAACCGGTTTCAGTCTCGTAAAAACAATAAAGCTGTGACCTGATAATTAAGATTTTACACAGAATTTTATAGTGTACTTGGGAATCAAATTACGGCTGAATACATTAAAAGGGAAATATCCCTCCTTCAAAATAGAGACATTTTTGGTTTCTGTACTTACATAAACACTCCTCTTCGGCTCCAACCAATGTACAATGAGATAGAATGCCTACAAAATAAGAAAAACTATTAATTTTTATACCATTACTTTAAAAACTACTTATTTTAAAATGATAGTTTTTTTTCTTCATGAAACTCAGCCTTGTGGAACAATCTCCGTCTAAAATCCATTGTATTCTGAAGAAGCCTACACTGATATAAGAAATTAAGAGAATTTACGGACATGATTAGAATTCTATTAAAATGTTTAAGTAGTTTACATCTGGAGAAATTTATTGAGTAATAGATTTTATTTTATAACCGTCGTTGAACAGCCGACCCAATTTTTTGGATTTACGACTACTAATGTTCAACTACGTAGCCTTGTCATTTTGAACCAAATTCAGAAGACAAGGGAGCTCCTGGATCAAGTATTGGGAGAAATTTGCTTTCGTAGGACTTTTCGATAGAAGTATCCCGCATTTGCGTTTCACGGAGAGGAAGACCACGAGAGCCTCCCACGGTTAGCCTGACGGCAGGGAGCCTCTAACTCACATGATCCATCTACCACTGAGGATATTTCACGTCAGCACTGTGGTCGGTTTCAAGCCGGATGCGGAATGCGTATCGACCATCCATCGGTGGGATTCAAACCCGGTGCTTCTCATTGGAAGACGAATTCTCTATCACTTGAGCCATTATTAATGAATATAAAGAAATTGTTGATAATAAATTAGGTAAAATAAATAGCTATCAAGTAGAATTAAGGTTGAAGCCTAATGTTGTACCAGTCTTCCGCTAAACTAGGCCGTTTGCATTAAAAAACGGTGTGGAAAACAAAAGACTTGAAAAAGATGGTAAGATAAAAACATGACAGGCTCCTGTTGTCATAAAAACATGACTACTCAGTGGTACTTGTTGAAAATGTAAGATTCGAAGAAATATTTTCCGGCTTAAATATGGGTTTTTAAAATAGATTTACAAATGAAAATTCATCCAAATAGTTGTTGACTCGGTGAAATACTGACCAAAGAATATAAAAAGGAGAAGAAATATGCAATTGCTCAGTTTGGTATGCTATACCAGAAAAACAACTTACAGGGTGAGCAACATACTCAGAGCATCATATGTGCTAAGATCCAATGCATGCGCATAAAAAGTACAGTGACTATCAGGCCACCTGTGAACTAGTTGTTTGGCAGTGTATATGTATGGTTGGGTACGCTACCACTCGCACCGCCATTTTATTCTTTCTTTCTCTGTCAAAATGTGTTAGCAGATTTATTAAACATGAATGATATTAATGTATTCTCCAAGGAATATCTTTATGAACAGTACAGTACTGTTCATCAATAGTGTAAAATGCTTAACAAACCAATAATAAATAAAAATATAACTTTTCGTCACTTTAATTCCAGTAGTGGTTGGGAAGAGTGAAAACCAGTTTTTCAAAAACTACTGCTGCGTGCCCTTAATTTTTTTTTTTTTTTTTTTTTTTTCATTTTATTCACTGGGACCGCACCAAACCTTGGAAGACTGGTTTACATTATGCCTACGGAATCTAGTCTTTCCCCCCTATGTATATTCTTTGATTTGGTAACGCTGTGTGTAAAGGTGTCTGCACACCGAACGCAACAGGGATGCGAAACACGATTTTCCCCCTCTGTTGCAGTGCGTCTGTTGCAAGTGATTGCATGTAAAGTGCCTTCAGAGAACAAGAGTGGCGTCAATCGAGGTGAAAAGCAAAACTGCGCAAGCGCATAATAGGATCGGATTACCAGAAGATAGGTATTAAATCATGGGCTTCCATGTTTGGCAGTGTAGTTCTCGAATTCGTTCGTTTGTTAGGGGATAGGATGGAAAATGTTTTTTTCTATTTAAAATATATACTATGTAATAGGAATGCAAGCAGCTAGTCTTTTAATAAGGAAATAATTACAGGTTCCTTAGTCCTTAGAGTCTTGTATAAATACAAATGTTATAGAAGTTGAGCACAAAAGATGTGTAAATTCTCAATGTGAACCGGATGTTCGTTGACGGTGAAAAATACGTTAAGAAGAGTACCCATTAAAACTAATTTAATTTTGAAAGCAAATGTAAGAAATAAGTAGCAATAAAATCAAATTTTCAATCATTGAATTTTGTTTAGTGCAAGTAAACTATATTTTGTGCATCTTATAACGAAATTTGTAAAAATTATAATTAAGAAATAAGAAAAGTACTGAAAATTTCAAATTAAAAATAAATAGCAAATTTAAGAAAGATATTTTTATTAATTGAATTTTAAAATATGTTTAATAACTAATAAGGAAAATCCTTAATGATAATGATTATATATATATACAATATATGTGTGTAATTTCATCAACTTTTATTATGATGATAATTTGAACATGTAAATATTTTGAATATAATAATATTATTTCCGTCACTAAAA